CCCTACACGGAAGTGCACACGGCTCTGCAGGGCCTCGCCGGGTTGCCGCGTGCAGGGGTACCCTCGCGGAGAGGGCAGCCGCACGGCGCGGCGACGGAGGTGGTGGCTTTCACGCGCCTTTTGAGCCATGAATGAGCAGGATCAGCACAGGTATGATTTCGCGTGGCGATCGATCCGCTGTTGCTTGATGCGCCTCTTCAACAACCTCATCCGCTGGTGCAGGTGCTCGCCACGTCCGTTGCTAATTGGGTCCTCGTACAGTCGTACCTCCTGCGTCCTCTCCTCAACTTCGCAGATTATGGCCGTACAACTGAACTAGCAGTAGGCTCTATTTAGAATGCTGGGCTTCTTAAACTCTATAGGGGACCTTTGGAACGGAGGAGAAAAACAAAGGAAAAAAGGTAGGATTTGGATTCCTTATTATAATTTAAATTTAAGTACTGTAACATCGTTTGGTTCAATAGGAAAGCTCTGTAGGAAAAGTTTCTACACAACAGATTCTATAGGGAAAACATAGGAAAATTTCCATCCAATCCAACCTTATTTTCTTGCTTGCTCGCGTAGGATCAAGGCACGTGCCTATCTAAAAACATTGTTTTTCTTGTAGGCCATCCAAACAACCATCCTCAATGAATTCTTTTATTTTGCAATCCTATGTTTTATGCTTGCGTTTCTTTCTTATTCCTATTTTTTTTGTTCCTATGTTTTTCGGAGCGAATTTTTCAGGATTTAATGACGTTGTACTTTCAGTGGTAGACGATGTTCCCGTCGACAGTGAGACGCCTACGGTGACTTCGGGGCGATCTCGAGAATTTGCTGGCCTAGTCTTTGAAGATACTCATAGGGGTAGGGTTTGTGTGCTTGTGTTTATAGGGATGAATGTATTTGCGTTGTGAGTGTATGCGTTATACTGCGTAATTCGCAAAAAAAATATTGCGTTCCATAAAGGGCCTTATAACTAATAACATACAGAAACCTGGAGAGAAAAATCGCAAGATAAAGATCCTATTTGCTTCCTAGCGAGTTAGAGTTAGGTCTTTCTAGAGCACCTGGATTTCTTCTATAAATCATCTGACCTACACATAGAGAGGAAGGGAGAAATGTTTTTTTGTTGTTGCCAATTTCCCATTGCTAACCTTGAACGTTTGGACAAATGCTTTCATAAATAAGGATGGAAAATGGAAATGGATATCCGAATTATCCGATATTCGTATCCGCTAAAACCTGTAATATGGATATCCGTATTCGTATCCGTTTCTAATGTGGTAACTAAATGGAAATATCTGAATTCGTTTTTCAGTGTTTTTCTCTATCCGATTCCAGATCCGTATTCGACAATATCCGACAGTATATGTATCCGCAAGGAGAACAAGGTATCATGAACCTATTTAAAAGTTATCTCCATAACGTGTAACCAGTTATTTAATTTTATTGTTACTAATGATGCATTGAAACCATTTAATAGTATATCTATAAATAATTTTTAATATTAGTTTAAAATTATTAAGGATACATAAAAATTAATTTAATTTTTTTATTTTTCTAATTTAGTTTCAACCTAATATATTTGTTGTTGTAAATTATTTTAATACTTTAGTTTATTTATTTGTTGATGTAAATTATTTTATATAATTTATATTTATGATAAATTTATATAAATATAATATTGATTGATTATTTGATATTTTAATTATTAAATATTTATTAATCACTATATTATTTTTATGAGTTATCCTTGTCTATGTTATATACACAAATAATTTAATCTCTACTTGTGTAATAATTTTGTAATTCCAAAAATATTTATAAAGAAAAATGGCTATTTGTTTTTCTACCATTTTTATTTGAATTTCTTCACTTGACCTATTATTTTATTAAATACTATCCATTATAATTTAGTTTACTTCGATATTGGAGATTATTAGAAGTGTACTTCATTTAGTTAACTTCAGTTAACAATGAACTAGTAGTAAAATTTTATTCATATATGTTGAATTTAACAATATACACTTTGAGTTGAGTCGAGTAAATATCCGAATAGAAACCTGAATCCGAGACATCCGTTTTGTATTCGTATTCGAAAATATCCCTATCCGTATTCGAATTAAAATGTGGTAAAAGTTGATATCCGGATTCGATTCCATGCATATCCGATCCGTTTTCATCCTTATTCATAAATGGCAGCCACTTTGTGAGACTCACAAAAGTATATAATAAACAATAATAAATACAAAAAAAACAAGGAAGTTATTTGACCTCAGAGAAATGGTACAGCGACTGGTCACAGCAGGGCGACGGACGCTCTCAATGCCAAATCTCCAACAGCAACAGCACCGTCACCAGCGACGTGCCGCCATTCATTGCGCCAGCTCGCAGCCGGCGAGAGCCACCGGCGGTCGGCGGCAGCCGGCACGCATCAGTCGCCTGTCACTGTCAGCTGCCGCAAGCCCACCCAAACACACGATGGACAGCAAGCTTTGTTTTGGACAGCACATCCTTTCGTGCTCTGCTCTCTTTGGTTGTGTTGGACATGGACAAGGTCTTTATTTACACCAAGCTTTGTCCACCACTATCTTTACTGTAAATATATAATATATAGTCCATCTCATTCTAAAACGACGCTTTTTTCATCGCCGGCACAACTAGAAGAAATCCCGTTTTTGTGTGTCAAATCAATTATGATTATCAGGGGCAGGAGTGGCGAGATTTTGATATGGAAGCAACTGGATCATGTCACCCTTGCCCCAGCCAGGATCCAACCCAAGAGCCACACGCTGCACGTTACTGTCAGGCAGATTAGCAAGATCTAGCATGAGATCCGGCAGGTTACCCCAGGATCAGACTCTAGGAGAGTTCCAGCTGAGTGCGAGAAGAATTAGAACAATCAAGGGCTTGGGGTCACTTGGCGAGCAAGATGAAAATCTGGAAGGAGCTCCAACTCCTAATACAACAACAACAACGAAGCCTTTAAATCCCAAACAAGTTGAGATAGGCTAGAGTTGAAACCCATCAGAAGCAATCAAGGTTCAGGCACGTGAATAACTGTCTTCCAAGCACTCCTATCTAAGGCTAAGTCTTTGGGTATATTCCATCCTTTCAAGTCTCCTTTTATTGCCTCTACCCAAGTCAACTTCGGTCTTCCTCTACCTCTCTTCACGCACCGGTGCCTCTAGGGATCTCCGTTGCACATCTCCAACTCCTAATAGGACGCCAAAAAATCCCAGCTGTCACCATTGGACTTCCGTTCCTTTTAACTGTATGACTATTTTTTTTGACAAGAAACTATGGCTATTAGACTCGCCGTATAAAATAATACGCAGTGAATAGTAACCACAACAGTCAACAGTGTATCTCAATTTGATGAACAGTGGAGCAAATTCCAGAACATATCAAGACGATCTCATTAAAGATCATCGCACAGACGTGGAAGTAGAACTGGCAGCGATAGCTCGATTTTATGAACAAGAAAGGCTACAGAAGCTGTCAAGAACAAGCACAGTAAACTAGGTTCAACTCCTCATGCGACCGAATTTCAGGCTAGAGTTAAATATACTTAGGGAGCTTTGCTCATAATCTTTCTTTCAAAAAAAAAAAAAAAGGAGGAACGAGTACAGTAAGTGGCACCATGTCCTCAGGTAAAAAGGTGTTTACCCAGAGGTAACGAAACCTGTGATTTCTCAATGGTTACCAAAGAACCTCACTTCACCAAACTTTAAAAATGAGTCCATTAAGTTTTTTTTTAGTCAGCTTTGACTTACTCAAAGTTTGAAACATTCTATTTAATGTTCATTAGTACAACTGAATTACCAAAAAAAAAACGAAGTCAGGTCTTTAGAAAATCCACCAACCTTCTGGAGTTGCCAAAAGCAGAAAAAATTAAACTTTGACCAACTATAAGAACTTTGTCGAAATTTCCTTTTTATCAGTTCTGAAAAAAAAAATATCTTCACAGGTGTAGGCCAACCCAGATCGCGTAGAAGTTCCATAACATGTCAAATAACATTGAATCCTCTAGATAAAATACCACATTCTCAACAATAGAAATTGATTGGAAAACACACATATAAAAACTTGTTTTTTTTCTCTCCCTTGTGATGAGATATGACAAAGACAGATGAAACTTCATAGTTCAGTTATACCATGTAACAGTTACTGATGCATCAAGGATGGAGTGATGAACAGTCACAAGGTGTTACTGTCTACATCCATTTCAGAAAGATCATTGGCTTCTGTTGGTAGAAATTAGTCCTTGATGCTTATAATTATCTTATCGGCATCTTTGAAAGTTCCGGTGTGTGAAATTATATTTCTTAAACAGCATGTTCCAGTGTCACGTATCAAAAGTACTCCCTCCGTTCCAAATTATAAGTCGCTTTGTCTTTTATGGTACATCCATTTTGCTACACATCTATATATAATATATGTTTAGATACATAGCAAATTCTATGTATGAAGAGTGGTTTAATCACGTGTAACCAAGTCACAATAAGTTTAGAAACATGTATGAAGAGTCAAGAAGTTTTAGTATACTCAACTATGGTGGTGTTGAGAAATATAAACTGCTGTAATTCTTACACAGCAGGTGAAACTGACCGGCTGAAGAGGAGTGTCTGGTCTGTATCCAGTGAGGCTGCAATCAATCAGAAGTACATGGTATGACTTACCTGATAAACTATCAGCACCACAGGGATCCACCAATGTCCTTCTGCCTTAAATCACTTTCCTTCAAAAGACAAGGCTAGACAGAAAATATCGTTCAAGGTTTGAGCCAAATTCTATTAACATTTCAAGTTAGTCTCTTTGTATAGGAAAGGCCATCGTGTGATCATGAGTTTGTGGGAAAAAAATACACCAAGATTTATGACATCAACTTGCAAAATTTAGTTCTCTCTTATCTTTGAAAGAAACAAAATTGAACTCTTCATCATCCTCTTCCTCATAATCATCATCGTCATCATCCTCCTCATTAAAAGTATAATTACCAGCTCTGGTCCTACCATTTACATGGTTTCTTGTTTGTGTAATAAATCTAGCAAACGGTGATTTCCAGCATCGGTATGTATAACTTCATGCCCATCATCACCATCCACCTCTTCATTATCAGGTTTCACTTCCAGCTGAATTGCACCATTCCCTACCAATTCATTCGCTTCTTGTTTTTCTTCTGGTGTGTTGGCAAGCGAAAGTAGGATATTTTTTGCTTTCTGGTCTGGTGGGTATCCACGAGCTTCCATTTCTTTGAACCAAATGGCAGCATTTCCAAAATCTGAGTTCCTGCCTTGTGCATCCATGATAGTAGTATATATAGTCTGGTTGGGTTCAACACCCTGGATCCGCATTCTCTCATACACCCGCATAATTTTCTCAACATTATTTAACTTTGAATAGCCTTTCATCAGAGTACCATAAACCACAACATTGGGCTTCAGACCATCGTCTTTAATCCTACGAAAGATTTTCTCAGCTCCATTCATGTCAGATGCATTTACATAAGCTAAGACCATAGTTGTATAAGAGCAAAGATCAGGCTCAACCCTGCAAGGGCAAATGGTGTCACAAGGTGAGAAATCAACAGTTCAATTTATTTCTAAAAGTTAGGTAGAATGACATGGGTTATACCTGTGTCTTCTCATTGCCTTGAAAACTGTATTAGCCTCCTCTACCAATCCAGAGATTGCAAATGCATCAAGCAAAATGTTATATGATTTGCGTGTCGGCCTGCAAAATAACATACTTCAGAATAGTACTCACAGGAACATTTCAATCTCAAGCAGCTATTCTGCACTGTGATTTTGTTTTAACTTCACGCATAGTTTTCAGCTTATCTGTGAATAGATTGACTTGAAATCATGAAAGAAGGCGTCCAATTTGACTTCCACAACTCAAAATGAACATTATCAAGCCTAACAATCATACATGTTCATGGGTCAACTCTTCAGTATGCTTAAGAATTGCATGTATTCAACTAAATAGAATGATTTTTTCAGAAAATTCGTGGTAAAAGTTTGAGTAGACCAAATATTTTGGGTTCTATACTTCTATACCTAATTGCAAACTCTATATTCTCTGAAGTTTTTCACTAATTGGGGCTAGAAGTCCTTAATGAGGATTGAGAAAGATTGCCAAATACACTTAACAGCACTACAAAACTATGTCTGCATTTTGCATGTAGCGCAGCATGATGATCAAGCCTTAAGCTGTATTAAGACAATAAAAATAGTGACTGAGAAAGACCTGACTCCAGCATCAAGCATCTCTTCAAAAACCGCCAATGCTTCTTCTTCCCCTTCTGGCTTTCCCATAAGCTTTGATGAGCAGGGAATAGCTCACAACATCTGGTTTTAGCCCAGCTCTTTGCATCTAAAATTTGTGGCATTTATTAGGGAAAAGAATACTGATACACCCTATATATCTTCATTCTGTATCATAACGATTTCACAACTAAATACTGATAATCTGATTGTGCAATTAAGCGAGAAAGTACCTGATCATAAATACTTGAAACTTCCTTGTAGTCTGTCTCAAAGGACATCAAACTATTAAAAGTGACTGTAGATAGTGGAATTCCTCTCTCTGACATCTGTGTAAATAGCTTACGAGCCTGGGCATAGTCACCAGCTTTCTTGTACATATAAATCATCATATGAAACATCTTCTGGTCTGGCTTAAAAGTTCTTTTTTCATTAAGAAGGTCCTCAAATATAGCTTCAGCTTCCTTATATTTGTCACCCTGCCACCAATTACAAATAAATTTGTACGGCCAAAAGGTTCAGGGAATCGGAATTCAGAAATCATCATAACTAGTTTTCTGACGGGATTGATTATAGGCAAAATTGCAAATACCCTAGTAAAAGTCACCGGTGGTTGCAAATATCCCACTACAAGTTAAATAGTTACATTTAGCAATCCACATCTCTTCTCTTGTTTCAGATTCACACTTGGAAGGTATTTGATGGAGGAGAATGTAGCTATGGCTTGCGGATCATTTAAACCCTGTTCGGTGCTGATTTCTTGAGTTGGTGGTAGGGTTAGGGTCTCCAATGGTGCTAGGTGAGCTAATTGTAAGGCAATTCCTAGTAATTCCATGTTATTAAAGTGAAATATTGGTGGTTTGGTTTCAATTCGAGTATGCTTTGTGTAAGCTAACTTCAGTTTAAATTTCAATTTTGCAGGCCATATGCCCTGTCCCAGTTGTGAGATTGCAATAGGAGAGATGTAGGGTGGTAAACTGAACCTCACAATGACTGTTCTAATAATAATTATTATAAAAAGGACCCACAAACTTGTAAACATCTACATGTAAATGTATTGTATAAAAAGAAGAATCATAGTAGCAGAGTGGTTGTTTGTTCTAGTTGGAATCGAGAGAGAGGTGGTTAAATATTGGGCCTGTTTTCATCTATCTTTAGTGGCTAAATCATTGGAGTACAGTGTATAGATAATATATGACAGCTATATACTGACCTCAACTAAAGATTTCAAAATGATTTGATATGTCACAGGTGATGGTTCAGGGCCTGATGTTTGCATCCTACGGAATACTGCTTCAGCCTTACGGTACTGCTTCCCTCTTCCATATGCCTCCATCAGACCAGTTTGTGATATGACGCTAGGCTGGTAGCCTTTCTTGTTCATGTACTTTAGGACCCTTTCTGCCCTGCTAAAATCCCCCAACTTTCCATAAGCTGTCACAAGCATCAAGAAGTCCATCTCACTGAAGTCCCACCAATGCTGTGTTCTGAGCCATTCGAGAATCTGAAAAGAAAAGGGTATATAAAATTATAAATTAGTATAGAATCCTGAAAGTGGATTATTTTTATATTCAAGAATCACATCTAGCTGTTTAGTCACCAAGCCAGTTTATATATGGGTCATCTGGTGTGAGTGAATATACCTCACTGACAATGCTCCATTTTTTCAATTGTTTGAACCGCACGAGAGTCCCAAGAATAACATCTCTTGGAAGTGGCCCTTTCCCGCTTCGCTGAGTCTTCAGAATGGGTACAGCTGATCCCGCCTCCTCTATCTCTCTCATCATTCTCCTCCAATTCATCTGCTCGGTCTCATCAGCAGCATCCTTGAAAACTTCTTCTTTCTTTTTCCTTTGCATAAACTTTCTTGTAGCTAACATCCCACGACAAACCACCTCAAGCCTGTGATTGCTCTTGATCTTCACATTGCATAATGGTAAACAAGAGGATACTTTTGCTTTGCTGAAACAGTCAAACACGTTCCAGGCAGAGTTAAGCAGGGGAGCGAAAGCATCATCATCGGGAAAAGCAACACATTCAAATGCATGATAATTTATTGATTATACAGAATTTGCATGAACAAATTGTTTTCCTTTTATCTGGAAGTAGACATAACATGATTTTGGCAGACCCCTTTGAACCCGGAATACTGAGCAAGGAATGACTTTCACAGACATCCCCCCACCCCAAAAAAAAATAAAAAATAAAACGAGCGTGCCACACACACACAAAGAATAAGAAATGAAGCAGAATTCTTTAAATATGTTGAATGGCAACCTGGATGCAGGGATCTTTGGAATCACAGGCCCATCAGACTGGACTTTTTGCACCCCATAAATATGACATGAGCAGATATCTAGGAAGAGTCAGTTTGACATCGGAAATGTAAGCGTCATGGTTGAAGTGAATGGAAGATTAATGACTACCCCAAATAATCAAACGTATCTAAGCCTGGAACAGCTATATAACCCACTATGCACACAAAAACACAGATTGCACGCAATATGAGCACGGCAGAAATCTTTAGTTTGCAGATGAGAGTCGCGCTGATAATGCTGTAAAACAACATTTTCGTCTTCAGAGTTCACCATAAAGCTAGGGGGCGCAATCAGACTGAACAGGTCAGTGGAACCAACCCGAATGCTTGGTTAGCAAACCATTCATGGCAAAGGCAGAAGGAAGCAGCAGCCTATCCTTCCAACTTCCAAGGCCACATTTGTACACCGTGAAATTCGCGCGCGCAAGCCGCACAGACGTCCACCACCGGCCGAATAACACGCAGGCAGCCGCGAATTGGAGACCCGGCCGTGGGTCTCCAAGAAATTAAACAAATTAGCGACCCCCCCACAAACGCTACGAGCTCTAGAGTTTTCCCCCGTGACTATAACTGCCAGCTGCAGCATCCACTCCCCACCCACGGGACGGGACAGAGAAGCATAAACCGAGGAGCCTCGCATCCATCCCCACCGCGAATCACAACAAGACACCCGCACCATCGCGCCGCGAGGATAATTGTTCCTCACCCGCTGACAGCGATACACTGCGCGCGGGGGGGGGGCTCGGAGGAATTAAGCAGGGGAGCGGAGACACGCACCAGAGGCTGGAGGGGAAGGAGAGCGGGGACTGCGACCCAATCGCCGCCGACTCCATGGGAGCAGGACCGCAGGAGAGCGGGGAGGGCGCGGCAGCCTTCTCGGCTCCAGCGACAGCGAGCCGAGGTGGAAGTGAGCAGAACCTCTCCTTCCTCGACTATTTGCTTAAACCCCGTCTCTCCCCATTTTGCAGCGATGCCTTGGGACAGCAGGATCTTTTCTTTTGCTTCTGCTGTAGGATAAGCATGGGCTGGCACAGGTGGGTCCATCTCCCGTTTCAGACTGTCTGCCTGTCTGGGGTGGGGAGTGGGGAGTGGGGAACTGGGGATTTAAGCCCATGAGGCCGACGCCGAAGTCATGCGAGCCCAGTCCAAACCGGGCCGGGCCCGGCCCATTTTTTTGCTTATAATTTTTTCCCAGAAGGAAAAGGAATCATTGTATACATAAAAAAATGAATCACAGTAAATTTGGAAGGATCGATGTGTCGTCTAGAGGAGAGGTGAATAAGTGTATCTGAAAAATATAAATTTACAATGGATAATATGACCAAAATTTCAGATACAGGGTAACCTGAAATCACAGATCGACAAAGTTTATACTTATTTAAACAATTCTACTTGTTACCAAAGATTGTTGGATACATAGTGAGTTGATTCCTCCCCATACCTACAGCCAAAAACACAAACAAATAGATCGGGGCGGTCAACTTGAACAACAAGAACAAGAAAAGAAGATACCTGATTTATTTACCGAAGTTCGGACTCACTTCTATAGATCCTACGTCTCCATTGAGGAGCTCCCAAGGGAGCAGGGCTCTTTCAACCATTTTCCTCTCTTCACTATCTTGATCTCTTCTCTTGTGAAGGCGAGATCGGGACCTTCACAAACTTCCCACGGGTTACCGCGGGCATGGGAGCTCACCGCACAACTCTTTGCCATCTAGGAGGCTTCACCTTCAAGAGTAACAAACACTTCAATGAATGCTTGAAAAGATCCACAAGTGCTCAAGAATGGGATTGCTCTCTCTTGGTTTCAATCACCCAATCTCTCAACCCAACTCTTTAGATTTCACAAGAATCAAACAATCATCACAAAGAGGGAGAGGAAGAGTTCAAATGGCCTAGAGAGATATGTTCTTTATGGTGTAGAAGATCTATGGAGTGGAGGGGTGAGGGACTATAAAAATACACAACCCCAAAAGCTAGCCATTATGCCACTTTTCTGCACAGGACTGAAAAATCTAGCAAGGACCGGATTTTCTGTAACACCCTAGGTGTTAAGATTGATTTTGCACTTGCATTTCATAAGCATAAGCATCATTTATGCATTCATGATCATAAGCATATGATGATATCTTTGATTGAGTTTATAATTGCTCTATGTGATGTTTTGCTTTTATAAGTGTGACTTCATATGTTCATGTTGCTAATATAAGTGCTTGATGTTTGATCACCTAAGTAACCTAGATCAACATAGGATCACAAATGGGTTAGGGTTAATGTTTATCATGTAGTCAAAATATGCTTCTAAGTGTTTAAAATTGTATTTTAAGCCCTTTCCATGATGCTGTTTTAATCAGAGTGTAACTATAGTTTCTACACCTTTTCTGAGGTTTGACCCTAAATAAAAGTTGTAATTTAGTTTGTGTACTACAAACTTTGTTTAAGGACCCAGAGCCAAATCAACTTCTAACATGTCCAAACAGTGACCACAAGTTTGAACCCAGTGCTGTTTTGGACCTTCTAAAATTTGGACCAAGTCTGTGAATAACAGTTAGCAAGTTCAATGTTTGAGAATTTATTTAATAAATTTTCATAAATAAAACTTGTGCAACAATGGTACCATTTCATAGTATAAAGTTTGAAATTTGATATTGTAACCTTGCTTTTGATGTTGTCACAGTATTTAGCCCCTAATTAATTACTCAAAATAGCTAATCAACCCATTTTGTAACACTGAAAACCTGAATTCAGTTTTTCAGTTTCAAGTGCTTGTGTTCAAAACCCTAGATCTCTCAAACCATCTAGTTTCAACCTTTGACCCTTAAAGCAATGTTGGAGATCTCGTGTAGTTCTACAACGTTTAGTAATGGACTTTTAGCTAAGGGTGAATGGATCGAGAGAAAGAGAGGGAGGAAGAAGCACCGTCAGTCGGTGAACAGTACCACGCCGGCAGCAGTCTGCCTGCTTCACCGGCGACCGTCGTCGATCTTCTCGGTGTTTCACCGTTGAGCCACGCAACCACCTTGAACAGGGATGAGCTGTGCTGGCGAGCCTGGAGAAGCATCGCCCGCGCCCAGTTAATGGCCCGGCGTCGGCCAACCTCTTCTTCTCTTCTCTTCGTTTGCCATCAGTCATCTCTGCTCGCCGACCATTTTCGCAGCCACCGCTCGCTCTCCATTCGATTCCTCGCGCCCATAGCTCCGCCATGAACTGCCCTTCCATCCCGACCTAGCTGCACCGTGCTTCATCATGAGGTTAGGGCCCTCGGGCCAAGCTACCGCCATGGGCCCCATGGCCGCCGAGCTCGCGCTCGCCGTGGCCAGCGCGTCCTCGTCTCCCTCTTCTGCCCCTCTTTCTTGTTTTAGCATTGCCTTAGGTCGTGGTTGCTCACACCGGAAGCCGTTGGCCGATGCGGGCCCCTACTCGCCGGAATGGCGAGCGCCGTCGCCGTCCTCTGGGCGCCGTGCCGCCCTGCACGTGGCCACGCCTCGCTGCATCCCAGCAGGCCCCTAGACCTAACCCTAGACCACCGCGTTGGTTCCCTGGAGCTTATGCGCGCGTGCGCCGGCCACCTCCTCGCCGGAGCCGGCAAGCACGCCGCCGTGCCGCCATGGCCATCGCCGCCGTAGTTAGCGACCGCCACTGGGCCAACCACTTATCTTAAACGGTGCGTGAAGTTGAGGGGAACACGTTGGTGCTCTTCCCTTCGCCGGAGACCTCGCCGCCGGCGAGTTATCGCAGGTCAAAGCGCCGCCCCTGCCTCTGTTCTTATGATAGGTGGGGCCGGGTTGACCATGGGCCCCGCCCTTCAGTTGCTTTGGGTGCATGGACCGGGTGCGCCTAGCTGTAGTTAGGGTGGATTTCGTTTGTTTTCTGTTTTTTTCAGAATTTAATTCAAACTTCAAAATTCATATCTTGAGCTAGGAGATTCCAAAATGGTGAATCAAATTTTGTTAGCTTTGTATTGCTGTGCTCTACATGTTAGAGTCATAAAATTTATTGTTTGACAACTTTTTGTATACTGTTTTTATTTACCTAAAATAATGCCTATTTAGCTTCTATAAATGATATCTAGAGCTATATCTATCCAAAATTATGAAACCAAGTTTGTTGACTTTGTTTTGCTGTGCTCCAGCTAAGGAAAATAAAAACCTACTGTGTGGCCAACTTCCATGTGCAGTATTTTTTTCATAGGAAATTGCATGTTTAACTTATATTTCCTGTATCCTATGATGTATATATCCAAATGGTATGAAATTTATGTAGTATATTAGTTACAACATGTGTGTACTGCTGTATTTTCCTGAATACCATATTTGTACAGCAGCTGACCTCTTCCTTTTTGTACCTTGTTTTACACACACACACACACACACACACACACACACACACACACACACACACACACACACACACACACACACACACACACACACACAATAATGAGCATGCTAATAATAGAAATAGAATGCAATCTTAACTTGTCTATACACACTACTTGTTGCTTGTCTAGCTTCTACCCTTTCATGATAAATGGATATATGATCATGTTGTAGTATTTTGTGAAACTTTGTTGATGTGCTAAACCTACCTAGAATTAGTATGTCTTAGGTGAAATGAAATATTGCCTTCTCTACCGGAGAAGAGATATGCACCTGCTCAGTAAAAGATTTAACTATAAGCAACACCTTGTTACCTTTATGTTGTTTATGCAACACTAGTTTATTATGTTATTAGGGCTGCATAAATGCATCTTTGTCTCCATATCATGGCATCGCTATCTTGCATACTTTTATGCATTCTCTTTATTTATGCACCGCTTACATACATATAGGATTGGAGGAGGAAGTTCCAGTAGAGTACGTGACCGTCGAGGAGGAGAACCCTCAGGAGTTGCCACCCGAAGGCGAAGAACAGACCCCTGAACCACTTCTGGAGTGCCCGAATCACGAACCCTCCACTTTTCACCGAGGCAAGCCCTGGACATTTCACTTTTCCCTCCTATCTCTGTGTTTAAATTACACTTGAGTAATGTTAAATTCTAGTTTATGCATTAAGTTGTTAGGTGTTGATTGGAAACCGTTGATGCATCTCATACCTTGTCCAGAAAAAATTATCACCCTCTCTAACTAGATATTGACCGCTCTATGCTTAGCTATGCTTAGAATGGTAGAAGTTAGGTGATTTCCCATCACCTGCGAGATATAGGTGGTTACCTGTCTCTTTGAGAACTTGTGAATCACGTGGAGGTTAATAATTGGAGACCGGGTGGAATCCCTGGTTATTGTTGTTATTGATTCAGGCATGACCTATGTTTTGATCCCGTCTGTGTCATTTAAGGACTGCTTCGTTGCCTGGACCTTGGTTGAGATTGAATGTACCTTCACATAACGGCCGTATAACTCATTCCGACGGTGAAACCGATTAGCTCGTTAGAGATGAGTTATTGAACCGTTAGCATTGCTGGGAGGAGAGTATTGAAGGAAGGGGACTGGTCCAAGACCATGTTTGCTATGGGCTACGGGCTGCAGGCAATTCATGTGAGGATGCAGGATCATGAGTTTTGCGAAACGGTTCAAACTCACCGTCGAATGGAGTGAACGGGGACTCACGCGAGTGTTGCTAGCTCGTGGGGGGTGATACGGGCTTTACCCAGCTGGTGTAATCGATTCGAATCGTCGTCTCTCCCGGTTAGTGAGAAACTTGGTCACTGTCCAGCAGTCGTAGTAAATACTTGACATATGATATTGACAAGTTAATTATAATTGGTTACTATTCTCTATAATTCGCACTATTCCTTATAACTAGGTACTATTCTCTATAATTCAATTGTATG